ACCTCGGACACCTTGGGGTGACCAGAGCTCTCTGGAGTGTGGGGATGGGGATACCCCGATTAGGGACCCCCAGGAATGGGGGTGACCCGGTCCCGAATAGCACAGGAATGGGTGATCCCCAATCACAGAGTCCTTAAAGTCTCGGAAATGGGGCTGTCCCTGTTGGGACAGGGAATGGGAATGCCCGGTCCAGGACCCCTCAGGAATTTGGAGACAACGATGTCCCCGACCTCCCGGAGACGGTGGCGCCCCGATCCCGAATCCCTCAGGATTTCCAACCCCTTGGAAATGGGGGTGTCCCGGTCCCCAATAGCACAGGAATGGGTGATCCTCAATCATAGAGACCTTAAAGCCTCGGAAATGGGGCTGTCCCTGTCGCTGATCCTCCAGGATGGAGATGCCATTTCCAGGACCCCTCAGGAATTTGGAGACAGCGATGTCTCGGTCCCCGAGATCCCGGAGGCGGTGGTGCCCCAATCCCGAATCCCGAATCCCTCAGGACCTTGGAAATGGGGGTGACCCGGTCCCCAATAGCACAGGAATGGGTGATCCCCAATTCTCCAGGATGAGGGTGCCCGGTCCAGGACCCCTCAGGACCTTGGAGACAGCGATGTCCCCGACCTCCCGGAGACGGTGGCGCCCCGATCCCGAATCCCTCAGGACCAGGGAAATGGGGGTGTCCCGGTCCCGAATAGCACAGGAATGGGTGATCCCCAGTCACAGAGACCTTAAAGTCTCGGAAATGGGGCTGTCCCTGTCGCTGATTCTCTGGCATGGGAATGCCCAGTCCAGGACCCCTCAGGACCTTGGAAACAGCGGTGTCCTGGTTCCCGACCTCCCGGAGAAGGTGGCGCCCCGATCCCGAATCCCTCAGGACCTCGGAAATGGGGGTGTCCCGGTCCCCAATAGCACAGGAATGGGTGATCCCCAATTCTCCAGGATGAGGGTGCCCGGTCCAGGACCGCTCAGGACCTTGGAGACAGCGATGTCCCGGTCCCCGACCTCGCGGAGACGGTGGCGCCCCGATCCCGAATCCCTCAGGACCTCAGAAATGGGGGTGTCCCGGTCTCGGTTCACGAGGATGGGGATGCTCCGCTCCCAGACCCTTCAAACCCCTCACGGATGGAGCTGCCCCGGTCCCGAGCCCAACCTGGGCCGCAGGGTCACGGTCACCGGCGGTGCCGGCCGTCACTCACCCGCCGCCCGCGGTCTGCCCGGCAGCTGCACGAAGCGGTTCAGGATCCCTCCCCCGCCGCCATCGCCGCCTCCCACGGCGCCGCCCGCGCCCTCCCCGAGCCCGTCCCGGGCCGCGGCCGCCGCCGACATGGCCCGTGCGATGCCTGAGGGACGGGGCGGCGGCCGCCAATCAGCGCCGAGCTTCTTCCATCCTGACCTATCAACGGCGCGCTTGTTGGCGGGTGGGGGGAGGCGCGGCGAGAGCGCCGCTGTTGGGAGAGCTGAGCGATCGATGYAGGGTGGAGTAATCGAGCGCCGAGAGCGGGGGCGCGGGGACACTCACGGGGACACTCACGGGAATAACCGCGGGGACACTCACGGAGACACTCGCGGGGACATTCACGGGAGCGGCGGCGCCCCCGGAGCCTTTCTCGAGGTTTCGGGGGCCGTGCGGGAGTTCCATGGGACCATGAGCGACCCCGCGGAGAGAGCGGAACGTTCGTGCSGGCCCGCGTTTCCCGGGCATTGACGGGGGGGAAGGGACCAAAATGGCGGCGCCCAGCGCCGGGGGAGCGGCGGCGGCGGCGGCGGGGGGGAACCGGGGGCGACCGTCCCCCGTCACCCCCCGGCAGATCCGCGACCTCATCGACGGCGGCATCGCCACCGARGGGCCCGGGCCCGGCGGGTGAGGGGAAGCGGCGGGCGGGGGTTTGCCGGTACCGGGGCTGGGGTCGGGGGGAGGCCCGGCCGTGTGGCAGCGAGCGGGGGAGGAGCGTTGGGGGCTCCTGAGGGAATTGGGGGGCGCTCGGTGTTGTTTGGGGTCCTGTGAGGGGGATTGGAGCGCGGCTGGAGGGGACTGGGGGATACTGGGGGTTGTTATTGGGGAGGGATTGCGGGAAAAGAGGGAGGAGATGGGCTGGAAACGGCTGGGAAGCAGGGGGA